GGGGGGGGGGGGCAGCTCCGGCAGCATCAGCCACGCACATAATGCTCCCCGAGGAGCTGGATGCGCCGGGGGCTCTTGGACCCGAGGATAAAGCGAAAGTTGGCCGCGTCCTTGAGCGGCATCGTTGACGAGCGTGAGTGTGTGTGTGTGTGTATGTGGGAGGGCGGGAGGGGGAGGGGGAAGAACGGGGGGAGGGAGGCCACAAGGCGTGGCTTGGAGCGGGGCAAGGGGGACGAGGGGAGATCGCGGGCGGGGTAGCGGGCTGTCGGGGCGGCGCGGGGCGGCAGCGTCCGCAGAGCGGGTTGCTGAAAAAAAAAAAAAAAAAAAAAGAACGAACAACCGGAAGACGAGGCGGCCTCGCCCATCCCGCGGGTCATGGCGGCGACCCCCCCCCCCCCCCCTCCAGGCGATCGGAGCCGCGCCGGGCAGAGCCACCCGCCGAGTGGGGAGCTGGCTCCGTGCGCCTTTGTGCGTGTGTCTCCGGCGCTCTTGCCAACGGACGATCGGGGGCATGGCCTCGTGCGGTGTGCGCGGGTGCCTGAGCGTGTGTGTGTGTGTGCTCGCGCTGCCCACACATGCGCACACACACACACACACACACACACGCTCACGCCTGAAGGCGATCTGCCCCGTGTGTGCCGACGGAGCAGGGCACAGCTCACCCAACGCCATCCCACACCCCCCCGGGTCCCTTCCATCGCCTCTCCTGCTGCACCTCCGCCACCGCCCACTTTCCCGCCCACACACCGAGCGCACACGCACACGCACACGCACGCGCCATGGCCATGCCCGCCCCGGCGCTGGCGGCCTCTGGCGCCGTCGCCGCACCGGCACGCCGTTTTGACTGGAGCCGGCCCTTCTGCCCGACACGGCTGGCCGAGTGGGTCGCCGGCCGGACCGGGCCCGCGGAAGCCGATGCCCCGGTCCGGTGCACGGTGGTCGTCCAGTCGGCCTGGAACGCACATGCCCCCGGCCCGGGGGTGTATGCCGTGGAGATCCCCGACCGCATCCGGTTCGTCGACGCATGGGCATGCGGCACGCACACGCGCGCGCGCGCGCGCACTCAGCCCCATTGGCATGCCCACACGCCGGGAGAGGGGACCATACTCCGAGGGCGGGCCACAGCCGGGCAGGCAGGCCGACAGACGGGCATGGCTTTCCGGCGCCGACCTTCGCCCAGTCACTGACTCTCCCCCCGCCCCCTTCCCCCTCCCTCGGCTCAGGCGTGCTCTGCTCTGCATGCCGCGTGTGGCCCGCGACGCCGGGGCGTCTGTCGGCCTCCGGCCATCGAGCCGGGCCATCTCCCTGGACCAGCTTCCAAGCTACCTGGCCGGGGTTCACCAGCCGGAGTACATCCAACGCCTGTTGGCCGAGGCGGCCGTCTCTGCCGAGAGCCCGGGGTCCCTGGCCTCCGGCGATCTGTACCTCTCCCCGGGCACACCGACCGGCGTGGGGGCGGCCCTCGGGACGCTGCTCGACGCGGTGGACCTGGCTGCTGCCCGCGGGCGGAGCCCCGTGCCCCTGGCTGCCCGAGACGCGGCCCGGCAACACCTGCTGGCCCGGTCGGCGGATGTCTCCCCGGCCCCGGGGCCCGAGGGGCCCGCCGAGCTGGCCGCCACCTTCGCCCTGGTCCGGCCGCCCGGCCATCACTGCACCCATGCCGCGCCGATGGGGTTCTGCTTCTTCAACAATGCCGTGGCCGCCGCGCGCCACGCCTTCACCAGGCACGGGGTGCGCGGCTCGTCGCCGGCCGCACCGGGGCCGGCGGCAGGGGGTCCTTTTTTTTTTTCCCCGCCGCCTCCCTTTCCATGCGCCCCGCTCGCCCTGTGCCCTGCCTGACCGGTCTCCCCCTGGCTCGCTCTGCCGGCACCTCGGCGCGCGCATAGATCGAGCACATTGCCATCATCGACTTCGACCTGCACCATGGCAATGGCACGCAAGACCTGGTGGTGGACATCAACCAGAAGCGCGCCCTCGACCCGGAGGGTAGGTTCTTGGGCACTCTCTTTGGCATGCCTCCGCCCCCCCCCCCCCCCCCCGTTGTTCCTCCGTCGGCTGCCAAGGCCTCGCTGCCCGCTCGCCTGCTGACCATGCTCGCCCATCCAGCACCCCCTCGACTCTTTTTCGGCTCGCTGCACGACATCAAGTCCTACCCCTGCGAGCTGTACGACGCGGCGGCCATCTTCAGCGCCTCGATATGCCTCATGGATCACGACCACGCCCTGTGGAATGTCCACCTCCAGCCGTGGGCCGACTTCGGGGAATTCCTCGGCCACTATGACGGCCAGTATCGGGCCCTGCTCACGCAGGCGGCGCACTTCCTCGCTGGCTGCCCGCCAGACCGGTCTCTGATCATCGTCAGTGCGGGGTTCGATGCGCACGAGCTGGAGTACCCGTCCATTCAGCGGCAGGGCCGGCGCCTGCCGGCCGAATTTTACTACCTCTTCTGCCGCGATCTCGCCCTGGTGCGTGGCCGTGTGTCTGCCCCGGCGCGCTCCTTCCCTGCCTCCTCTTCCTCTTTCTTGCCCACCCTCCCCCATGTCGCCGGGGAAGGGAGGAGGGGGGGGGGGTCTATCTATGTGTATTTGCCATGGCCTTGGCCGGTCGTTCCCTGCGCGCAAGCCTGGCCACCGACCGCGGCGAGACGTCTGACCGAAAATGCCCACACCCCTGCGCGGACTGGACGACGGCCTGGGCCCAATGGCGGGGGGGGGGGGGGGGGATGTGTGGTGAAAGCTGGCCCGAGCGCACACCGACGGCAAGATGGTCTTCGCCCTGGAGGGCGGCTACTCGCAGGGAGCCTTGGCGAATGGGCTCTACTCGGCGCTGGCCGGCCTGGCCGGCCTGGGCCCGGACCATGCAACCATGGCTGGGCCCGGGCGGATGGCCCGGCCATCGCGGCCCAGCGACAACCCTTGACACCGGAAAAGGGCGAGGCACAGGCAGGGCACGGATTCTCCCACCGTGCGTGCATGCCAGAAACCGAGGGCGAGAAAGCAATAGAGCAGCCTGTGTGTGTGTGTGTGTGTGTGTGTGTGTGTGAAGTATGCCCCTGTGAGGGGGCGTGGGCGTGCGTGCATGCGCTGCGCGCATGCGCTGCGTGTCGGACAGCCACCCGGTCGAAGCATGCCGGCGCGCATCAGCAGCCGGCGGGGGACTTGCGATACCGGCCGTCGCGCTCCTTCAGGTCGTCCTGCAGGCAGTAGGCCGGGAGGAAGCTTCGGCAAATGATCTTCCCGCAGGCAGTGCACTCCTCGGCGGCAATGCACTCGGCCGGGGCCCCGGGGAGGAAGGCCCGGAGCTCGGCCTCGAAGGAGGGCCGACACCGGCACACGGCCGCCAGATCGCGAACCACGCGGAAGGCCCGGCCGGCGCTCGGGTCGTCCCAGCCGGCCACACCGTCGAGAGGCAGGTCCGGCAAGACCGCCAGCCAGGGGTTGGGGAAGGTGTTGGCATGCGAGCCGATCGACGTGTAGCCCAGGTCATACAGCGAGCAGTAGGGGACGCCCAGGCCACGGAGGAAGCTCCACACGTCGGGCTGCGACCACTCGAGCACCGGGTTGACCCGCATGAATTGCGGCCAATCCCGGTCCGTCGGAGACAGGGGCGAGACATACTCTGGCGGAGTGGGGGGGGAAGAGGGGCATCCAACCGGGCGGGGCGTGGTGCCCCCATCGTGAGCATGGGTGTGTGTGTGTGTGTGTGTGTGTGTGTGTGTGTGTGTGTGTGTGTGTGTGTGTGTGTGTGTGCGTGTAAGTGCGCCCGTGGAGCGAGCTTCTGGCAAAAGGGGGCCAGGCGTGGGGAAACAACACAGAGGAGGCAGCGGAAGGAAGAGACAGCGGAAAGGAGGCAGAAGGAAACCGACAGGTCACATACCGCCATGGGGATCGGTCTTGCGGGTGCCCATCAGAATGGCACCCAGATGCGGGCTGGCCTCCAGGAGCCCCGCCAGGGCGGCCTTCATGCTGCAGCCGAAGGCGTCCGACCGGAGAAGCGTCCAGTCCAGATGGTAGCCGTCTATCGACTGGTCGACGAATTCCGAGATCCGGGGGATCGGCTCCTCATCGGCGATGCAGAAGCCTGCCGTGCGATAGGCCAGGCCACTGCCATGAGCAGGGGGGCCATCCTCGGCACCGGCGCCGTCGGGGGTGCCGGTGCCGCTGTGCCGGCCGGCCGCCGGGCCGGGACGGCCGCTCGCGCCAAGGGCACAGCCGTGCAGCCGGTCCACCTCGCGAGCCAGCGCCCCGGAGCCCAGCATGTCCGATGTCAGGCGGTACTGGAAGCAGGAGGGCAGCCCGGCCACCAGGGAGCAGGTGGCCCCCAGCGAGAGGCTGCTTTGTGAGGGATCCGGCGGGAGGTCGCCGGCCGCCCGGCAGAGGCAAGTCCCGGCGGAGGCCGTGGCCGCCTCGCCGCTGTCCAGCAAGTAGACCAGGAATTGCAAGCGCCGGAGGAAGACCGCCGCAAAGAGGTGCAGCAGGACGGTGCAATCCTTGCCACCATTGAAGGACACCGCCACCGATGAGGGGCTGGCCAGCCGGGCCAACACCCAGGAGGCAAGCTCGGCCCCGGGCCGGGGGACCGGCCGGGCGCCGGCCAGGAAGCCGCGCTGCCCGCCGGCGCCCGCCGGCCCGCCGGTGCCCGAGTGCGCCAGCAGCCCGGACGGCGAGGAGGGAACCGAGCTGGCCGGGTCGCCATCGCCCGCGCCATCGCCCGGCGGGGGCCCATTCTGCGAGGACAGCCGCGCCTGGCAGGCCAGCGGCAGGGGACCGTCATACAGGTCCATGGCATGCTCGATGATGGCCAGCGACTGGCGCACGCGCCGGGCCAGGGGCTGCTGCTCGGCCGTCAAGGCGCACAGCCACTCGGACAGCGACTGCCCAGGCGGCCCAGGCCGGGTGGGCCGGTCCTGCCGCGCCACGCCGAAGCCCAGCCACCGGGGGAGGGGCCGGCCATGGGGGGCCGGGCCGCCCGTCGGCGAGCCGGCCGCCGGGACCACGCGGATGGTCGACGACTCGAGCAGGCGCCGCGCGTCGGGCGACCACGAGCCCGGATTGCCAGGCCTGGCCGTCTCGGCCATGTTCATTTCCGTTCAGGCGGCGGGGGGGGGAGAGGGCGGCAGAGGGAGGAGGGGAGGGGAGGCGTGGCTGTAGCTGGGCATCGCGCAAAAGGCCA